AGTACGTAATTAATTGACAAACCATTTAAAATTTAGCAGGGGTGGGGGTGGTCTGGGATTTTTGTTTGGAAAAATCTGGTTAATAAATAGGCTGAAAAAATGTTCTTGCTTTGATTGATAGGAAAATTAACCATTTGCTGTATACTCTTATATTCATTATATAAGTTGAAAAAAATACACAGGTAAAAGAAAAAAAGAAAATCCACAGCACTCCACATAAAATTAATAGTTGGTCCTAAATCTTCCCATGAAATGTCTAATGAAAATTAGTTTAAATATTCACATGTATCTAGTTTGGGTTTGTTAATAGGACTTGCATCATGACCACTATAAATGTGATATAATTTGTGTCTGTGTGTGTGTGTGTGTGTGTGTGTGTGTGATATGGATTTTTAACAATTTTTCAGTCACATTACTACAATGTCTACAGTGTGGCAGTTTATAGTGAGGTCTATCACTGGGGCATCAGCAGACATGTAGCATCATGTCCCACCCAGTCACATTATCCAGACACAAGGCCGACCAGTCCTTACACTAAGGTCCTAATGTTGATTGCCAAGTGCTATTAGAACCATTGTTATAGGTCTTTGGTATGACTTGGCCGGGGTTTGAACATACAACCTCCCGCATCTGAGGCCTAACCACTGTGTTGTTTGTTTTAAATCTTGATTATTTGGAAAAATTATGATAATGCGTCAACTCAATGTACATTTTTTTTCAGCCTCTCATACTTAAAAATAAGGACATTCTTGTAAACTTGACTGCCTACAGGGTGACCAAATGAACTTTACAAACAAGCTTCAGATTTAAAAAAAATTCACAGTTAAAAACTTTTAAACTCTTTGCATACAAGTTATTTCTTTTATATCCAGGTGTGCTGAAATACATTCATGTCTTGTCCTATTTTGATTGCTGCATTACATTGTTCCTCCCTTGCAAAGTGAGGTCATGCATTTTGTTGGCTTGTTGATAATGTGTCCATGATATCTTTCATATCTTGGACCCCATTTGAGCTGTGATCATGAAGTCAGCATGTGGATGCATAATAATGACGGTAACTGAACAATAACTGAGCTACATACCAAAATTAGGCAACTGAGTTAATTCTTTTTTTTAAAATTCGATTTAGTTTTGTATTTTTCAATATGTGATCCTTAGACCCTCAATGGATCTCAACCCAAACTAGGTTACTATTGGCTAATTTTATGTTTGAGTGACTTTGTATTTTCAACAATTGATTCCTTGTGGTTCTTGTTAACTTCAACACTATGGCACCTATAGATATGGGCCCAGAGTGACCAGTAGTCTAAATCGATCTCTGTTATGGATAACTGAATCTCAATTCTGTCTTAGTTGGTTTAAGTCTAGGATTCAGGGAATGTGGATATGTCAGAAAGCTTGCCAGTAGCTTTTTGTTGGTCTTTCCTGGATTTTCCTGTTTCTTCCTCCACCATTATTACTGGCTGTCATGTAGAGCTTATTATGTGCTGCAAAATGGCATTTAAGCCCCCAGAACAACAACAACAAACAATAAGCACCTCTAGACATGAAAATCGGCATGCAAATGTTTGCAAAGGAGATTGACTCCAATATACCAAACATTGGTCACTATTGGCATCATTTTTAAGCTTTCTGTATCTTGGACTATCCACTCTGTACACTATTAGTTTCTGGAACAATGTTTAACATATTCTCATCAACTGGATTCTGGCTGTAACTCAAGGAGAATAACTTAACCATACCAGAACCTAGCTAATTTTATGCTTGTGTGAATTTGATATTTTTGGCTATCTGTTCTTTACACTCTCAAAATTGGTATGTGGATACAACTCAGTGCAACTCCACCATTCCTAAACTAGGTCACTGTGGTCTAACTTCTTATTCTTTACAAATTTATTTTCAGATATCTATTCTTTGTACCATCAATATCTTGAATGCTGTTTCACCTATGTTTGTTGTTTCTAAAAAAGAGTAAATCAACCTTTCAAAACTGGGTCATTGTGATAAAATTTTGACTTGAATATCACTTTTTCATTTGCAAATTCACTTAATAAACTTGTTTAGATAATTCCCACGGCTTCATAATATCTACATTTCAACAATTCGTCAGTGTATATAAATAAACAATACTGTATGATTTCAGATAAATAAATTGAACACATTTATGCTAGATACATAATTCCCTATATAGAATAGGCATGAAGTCTGGATACATAATTCCAGGACAATAATCAACACTTTAACTTAGTGAATCATTGTACATATAAAGAAAAATGTCATTATGCAGACTCAGATGAACAAACTTTGTACAAGTATACCATATCAAGAAAAGTGATCTACCACCAACAAATAAATTCCAGCAAGTACATGCAAATACAAGCAATTAAATCAAACAAATCCTCATAGTAGTATCAACTAATTGCATCAGATTATGCAAGTACCTTCTGTTTTCAAGCATTTTGGTCTGTCAATTCTCTAGACTATCATTTCCCCTTGGATGAGTTTATGAGAAGTTTAATTATTAAATTCTTGGAGTCCCTTAAATTCTTATGTTCGTTTTCTCTTGTAGAAAAGTGTAGACTGAAGTATAAATTCCAATATTGCACATTTAAACAAATAGTTTTTTGTGTGAAACCCCCTTCTACAGCGTAAACATTCAGAATGACTCCCACCTTACTAACATTGAACACTGCACTAAGTTTGACAACAAATGGCTACAATCTGTTTTCTGGTCAGTGTCCCAACTGTCAGCTTCCATACAATCCATAACTTGAGTAAGTTTAAATAAACTAAGTCCTTAATTAGACATACAAAATGGGTCTGGTAAAAGTAAACATACTTAGTTCCCAAGAAAATGTATCACATAGACATACAAAATGGGTCTGGTAAAAGTAAACATATTTAGTTCCCAAGAAAATGTATCACATGGACATACAAAATAGGTTTGGTACAAAGTAAACATAATTAGTTCTCAAGAAAATGTATCACATGGACATACAAAATAGGTATTGTAAAAAAAAAACATAATTAGTTCCCAATAAAATGTATCACATGGACATACAAAATGGGTCTGGTAAAAGTAAACATACTTAGTTCCCAAAAAAATGTATCAGATGGACATACAAAATGGGTCTGGTAAAAGTAAACATACTTAGTTCCCAAGAAAATGTATCACATGGACATACAAAATCGGTCTGGTAAAAGTAAACATACTTAGTTCCCATAAAAATGTATCAGATGGACATACAAAATCGGTCTGGTAAAAGTAAACATACTTAGTTCCCAAGAAAATGTATCACATGGATATACAAAATAGGTCTGGTAAAAGTAAACATACTTAGTTCCCAAAAAAATGTATCACATGGACATACAAAATCGGTCTGGTAACAGTAAACATACTTAGTTCCCAAAAAAATGTATCAGATGGACATACAAAATGGGTCTGGTAAAAGTAAACATACTTAGTTCCCAAGGAAATGTATCACATGGACATACAAAATGGGTCTGGTAAAAGTAAACATACTTAGTTCCCAAAAAAATGTATCAGATGGACATACAAAATAGGTCTGGTGAAAGTAAACATACTTAGTTCCCAAGAAAATGTATCACATGGACATACAAAATCGGTCTGGTAAAAGTAAACATAATTAGTTCCCAATAAAATGTATCACATGGACATACAAAATCGGTCTGGTAAAAGTAAACATAATTAGTTCCCAATAAAATGTATCACATGGACATACAAAATCGGTCTGGTAAAAGTAAACATAATTAGTTCCGAAGAAAATGTATCACATGGACATATATATTTGGGTTCCAACAGAGGTTGGACTAGTAGCTTTTGGACTATATATTTCATTGTGTTTGAACATGTTAAGCAAATGTGTACAAATGATTGGAGGAAGTCATAGCATTTCTACCAAATTTTAATTTTAATAGTGGAATGAAGCTTGTGATTTCTTGTTCCTTTTCTCTGTTTAAAGCCCACAAAAGACCCCATTCAAGTACTATTTTGTGAGTATAATATGGTTTTAGTCTGGTTCTGGTCATTTTATAGGTAATGACTGGCTGGACATAATGACCAGTATGTCTAGTTCAGGAAGCACCTGGAATAATGTCATGAGTTGTTCATATCCATTCTTATTCATGACTTCAATTTGTAATTTTTTAGTCTGATGGATGAAACTGGACTGTACATCATCACTGTACTTACTATGTTATCTGTTGGATTTCATTTTTAAATATTATGGATGTGCAATATTACTTGGGTAAAGAAAGTTCAAATAAAACCCTTGTTCACAAACTTTTTAATCCCAGTTAAATCTGTTATATACAAGAATGAGAACAAATTTTGCACCAGTGGTTTCAGTTTCCATATCTGAGATAGAAAGATTATCATGTTTTGGAAGTTGATGGTTACAGGTATTCACTTTTTTTTCCTGCATAATATTTGCATTCATTATCAATCCCTGATCTATCAAAACCCCTGCAGGCTTGGGGATGTAGAATACACCCAATGCACACACATCAACCCAGCAGTGGATATTGAAAAGACCTGATGCACACATATCAACCCCACAGGCCTGGGGATGTAGGAATAGACCTGATGCACACATATCAACCCCACAGGCCTGGGCATGTAGGAATAGACCTGATGCACACATATCAACCCCACAGGCCTGGGCATGTAGGAATAGACCTGATGCACACATATCAACTCCACAGGCCTGGGCATGTAGGAATAGACCTGATGCACACATATCAACCACACAGGCCTGGGCATGTAGAAATAGAAACCGGGAAATCACCAGAAAGAACCACCACCCACGAGAAGCTACTGGCAAGCTTTCTCATATATCCACATTCACCAAATCCTAGACTGAACTCATGCAGACAGAGGTGAGATGGCAGTGATCCATAAGGGATAGTGCTTTAGACCACTTGGCCACTTGGGGCCCTGGTCTTTAATTTATAGAATTTTCTGTCTCAAGAGAACTACTGTGGCTCAGTTGGTAGAGTGTTGGACTTTTGATCCATGGGTGGATGGTTTGATTCTGTTAAGGCCAACCTGGGTTGGCTGCCCCATTGTGTCCATGAGGAGAGGCGTTTTCTGTGATTTTCTTGGTATGATACAGCCAAATACAGTTCTGAAAGTGACATAATTTGTTTTCAACTGCCATTCAGAAGATGGTCTTTCATGGGAAACTTGAGGAAGCCATGCTTACATTGTAATGGTTTCAATATAAAATAAATACATATTGTTTGAAAGCATGCACCTTTCAAAACAATTAATAACCTCTCCAGTATATTTTTATATAAATATCCATGCCATAATGATTCTAATGCTTAGGAAGGAAATAATTTATAAAGAAATCTCATTTACTCATCATTTTGGTATTTACAGTATCCTATTGTACTTATAATTTAGATTTAACTGCAGAAACTGGATGGACCTAGGTCTGTCATCACAAAAACTGGATGCCTGTAGTTATGATTACTAAGTAGAATAGACCCTGATTTGCAAATAAATTCCTGATACCTAATCAGGGTCAATTTTATTTGTAGTAGGACATTACTTTTATATAAGTTTATACAGTACTACTGGTCCTTGAATCAATATACATGTACTAATTTCTATTCAGCTTGAATCAATATTATAGTCATTTGTATTCAACTTAAACTTCCTGATAAAAGTGTAATTTTATAACCTTTTATCTCTCACAAGTCTGCCTTAACAGTTAACTGCAGGAAAATAGTAACTCTACACTAGGACCTGGCTCATTTGTGGCAGATGGGTTCTGGTACTCAGTCCCTGATGAAAATTGATTTGTGTGAACTATGTTTTTAGTTATCAAAATGACTTAACATCTTGTGTTGCTGTCTTATTTATTAAATTGACTAGACACATACCTAAATATGGAGACAGCAACAGTCAGACAAATAGATTTTCAATTATTATTATATTTACCAGTAAACAGTTATTATGCCCTGTTTTATTGTGCAATTAAACCATTGTATGTATCAATAACTTTTATTTCTAATGGTCTGAGAGGAGGGGACCCAGACAGTTTTTGAGGAGGAGTTGGGCTGGGTGGGGTTGAAGTCCAGAGTTTCATGCTATGCCACTGATTATGTAGTATACCCTCAGACTGAAATGAATTTAGATTAAGTTTTATCTAATTGCCAGTGGCATGTTTTGAAGTTTAATATTTTGTTAATTTGATATACCTGGATAGGTGTGATATTCTGTTAATTTGATATACCTGGATAGGTGTGATATTCTGTTAATTTGATATACATGGATAGGTGTGATATTCTGTTAATTTGATATACCTGGATAGGTGTGATATTCTGTTAATTTGATATACCTGGGTAGGTGTAATATTCTGTTAATTTGATATACCTGGATAGGTGTGATATTCTGTTAATTTGATATACCTGGATAGGTGTGATATTCTGTTAATTTGATATACCTGAATAGGTATGATATTCTGTTAATTTGATATACATGGATAGGTGTGATATTCTGTTAATTTGATATACTTGGATAGGTGTGATATTCTGTTAATTTGATATACCTGGATAGGTGTGATATTCTGTTAATTTGATATACCTGGATAGGTGTGATATTCTGTTAATTTGATATACATGGATAGGTGTGATATTCTGTTAATTTGATATACCTGGATAGGTGTGATATTCTGTTAATTTGATATACCTGGGTAGGTGTAATATTCTGTTAATTTGATATACCTTGATAGGTGTGATATTCTGTTAATTTGATATACCTGGATAGGTGTGATATTCTGTTAATTTGATATACCTGGATAGGTGTGATATTCTGTTAATTTGATATACTTGGATAGGTGTGGTATTCTGTTAATTTGATATACCTGGATAGGTGTGATATTCTGTTAATTTGATATACCTGGATAGGTGTGATATTCTGTTAATTTGATATACATGGATGGTGTGATATTCTGTTAATTTGATATACCTAGATAGGTGTGATATTCTGTTAATTTGATATACTTGGATAGGTGTGATATTCTGTTAATTTGATATACCTAGATAGGTGTGATATTCTGTTAATTTGATATACTTGGATAGGTGTGATATTCTGTTAATTTGATATACATGGATAGGTGTGATATTCTGTTAATTTGATATACATGGATAGGTGTGATATTGAAGAGATTAAGATCTTATCATCTTGTGTAATTGTTTCTGGCATAATGCCTGTAGCTATTATTATTATTATTATTATTATTATTATTATTATTATTATTATTATTATTATTATTATTATTATTATTGAACATTTACTATTATTATTTATATTGTACATTTACTATTATTAATATGTTATTGTTATTATTATTATTATTATTATTATTATTATTATTATTATTATTATTATTATTATTATTATTATTATTATTATTATTATTATTATTATTATTATTATTATACATTAAACTAATAGGAAAAAATATCAGCTTTCTGCTTGTTTAAACTTAAAATGTTATCTTTCATATTATATTCACTGGTTAACTTGTACTCAGTGACTTATTGAAATTCTATAAAGTGTAAAGTGTTTTAATTGTTTGATCAATGACTGTGGGCCTGACAAACATTCAGATTGTGCAGGTAACTAAAACTGAAACATCATTACATTTCCAGACATAATTATTGCCTCAAGATATCTTAACCTATTTAATGTATCAGCTTTATATATATATATATATATATATATATATATATATATATATATATATATATATATATATATATAGAAAGTGATACAGTAATAAAATTCAACTGAATGGATTGCAGTACATACTTGTCACACCTGAACTCACCTGTGCTAGGAAGAGTAATTAACATATAAATTAAAGGTGTCTCAGCTGTACTACTGTAGTTATGAAACACATCTCAGTTGCTTTTGTAGGAACAGGAAATTGTGTCCTACCAGGTAGTTTACTTTCCAATGAGGAATATATGCCTTGATTAGTAAGAGCTTTGAAACAGCAGCTGTCTTGGGTGGCCTTATATATTATGTATTAGTTGTATATTTGTGTTTTGTATAAAAAAATGTTTGAAACAAATGCCTTTAAACAAATTTTAACTGAAAATTACAATAGTTTTCTGTTGTACCAACTTGGATTGGAATCTTATTGCAGAAATGTTATAGTGTTTATGCTTAAGCACCCACCCCTCGACCTTCATTAGTCTAAAGGGCTCATGTTGATTCTCACCTCTCTATGGGCAAGTTGGTCCCAGTAGCTTCTTCAGGGTCTATGGTTCTTACTGATTATGTCATCTAGGATCATGCTACCAGGCCCTAAGAACTGTAAACTTTGACTTCTGTTAGGAAAGCAAATATGACTTCACCCTTGATTTTTGGGACATAAAATGACTGTAGATTATAACTTTTCAGATGCTCCCTAGCAATAGCCATAAGTTCTGGTACTTGTAATCCAAGGTGAAAAGCATCAATATATAAATAGTAATTTACTTTTTAAAAATAATGTGATCCGGGAAGACTTTTCTAATGTATTTCTTGTTTTTATTAATGGAGATTTTATCAGCTGTATTTGCATTTTTTCTTGATAAAATCAGTTTGAAACTGCAAATGAAATTGTAATGGCAGATATCGCTCTGTATTCGTAAATTGGGAAAATAGATTCAGGAAAATATATAATACTGTATAATGAAAACAGTTTACAAATTATGTCATAGGATATTTAGCCTACATATTTAATAAGGTAAGTAAAAAAAACAGGACAATCTCTGTTGTGGAATTCAAAGCAATGCTGCAAGGGCAAGTTTGTTTCATGTCCTGCTGTAATTAATTTTTGCAAAATTACAAAAGACATGTATAATAGTGAAGCAAATACTATTTAACCAATTTATATAGTTAATACCAGTAGGTAGACATATAATTCAACCATAAATATGCAGTCTCATTAATGAATTTGTTATAACAAAGCAAGAAAGTGAATAGTTATATTTAGAAATACCCTTCTTTTTAAAAATAGATGCACTCACTAGATGCAATAGGTGTTTTTGAATGTTTCTGTTTTTGGGGGAAAAAAGGGTCCAGTTTAGTTATCTATTTACTTTAGTGCTTCGGTGTGTTGTCTATGAATAGTTACAGTAATGTTTTATTGGGAACAAGGAAATCAGGACGAAGAGTATGTTTTGAAGTTGCTAGTGCATTTAATCATATGTACATGAATTAGGTGTTGTTTCAAAGAATGCTAGAAATCGTTATTTGACTGCAATTTTACACAAAACTTGTAAAAAAAATAGATATAATAATTAAGTGGTAGTTTAAGCATTTTTACCCACTTAAAATTAAAAGACTTTAATCTTGTTACTGATTTCAGTTAAAATTAATTACAATGTATATATAGAAAGCTGCGGTGCCTTTTAAGTCATATGGCCAATTTGCCTGTATCTCACTCCAAACACACATATACTACAAGTATGAATAGAATGGGTATGAATATAATAATTTTTATTCATGCACAAAATGGGTTGATAATAAACATATGACAAATTTTTAAACTTGATAATTAGGCATTGTTTAACACTAATAAAAGCATACTGAGAAATGAAGCACATAAATAAGATAATGCAGAATGCTAATTCAGTTGTAGTATTTTTAAACCGGTACATTGTCATTCACATTCAGAATGCTAACTATTGTACCACTGACACTCTGTTAGCCACCTTTTACTACATACATAATAGGCCTATTCTTCCTCTCAGAGCCACATTTGATCAGTATCTGAAAATGCTCACATTGACAAATCATTTTGTCTTAGTTTTTGCTGTCAGAGTTATTACCATTTTTGTATTGCAGCTGAATGTGATACTGAATCTTGTGAATGAAATTTTGGAATGATGTGAAATTTGGTAGAATATTGTAGTAGGGACATTTTATATGATTCAACTGTTTTCCAATTTTCTGGTCTTGTACATAGCTATGTTGCATAGAATCAACTTTTCAAAAAATGTTCTGCTTCTGCAGTCCAAAAACAATACAAGTAGAATCTTT